TATATTATTTTTATTTTATGTGTATGAATGTATTGCCTGTGTATAAGTGCACCCATGTCATGCAATGCCTGCAGAGGTCAGAAAAGGGCCTTAGATCCCCCTGGAAATGGAGTTACAAATGGTTGTTAGCCACCATCTGGGTGCTGGAAATTGAACTTGAGTCTTCTGCAAGAGTAGCCAGTGCTCTTAACCACTGAGCCATCTCTCCAACTCCAGTTTTTAATTCTTAAGGTCAGTTGGTACATGCCTATAATTCTAGTACCTGGGAGGTTGAGGCAGGAGGATTATAAGTATGAGGACAGCTTGGGCTTCATAGTGTTAGACACTCCTGTCCCCTTTTTTTTGTTGTTGTTTTTGTTTTTTGAGATAGGATCTTATTATGTAGCCCTGGCTGGCCTGGAACTCACAGAGATCTACCCACTTCTGCCTCCCAAGTGCTAGGTAGGATTAAAGGTTTGTGCCCAAATTTCCAACCTGAGACCCATTTTTTAAAAATTATAATTCTGGGACTGGAAAGATGGCTCAGCAGTTAAGAGCACTGGCTGCTCTTGCAAAGGACCCTGCTTTGTTTCCCAACACCCACATGGTGGCTTAGAACCATCCATAACTCCAGTTCCAGGGGATCTGATGCCCTCTTCCTGCCTCCAAGGCATTGTACAACATGGATGCACTTACATGCACGCAGGCAAAACACTCATACACATAAAATAAAAATAAAGAATTTTTTAAATCATAATTCTCTTTTTTGAGATTATTCTTCCATTTGATATAGAAAAACATGACTTCAGATCTAGAGGAAATGAGATCAGATGTCCCTTCAATCAAATTCCATTTGCTTTCAGATTCCTCCTGTGTTGAATTTGGAATTTAAACATCAGGTTCTGGGGTACAAGAGAAGGCAATGAACATCCATGGGCTTGAGGCTACCCTTGTTGAAGAAAAAGTCACTGTATTTTTGAAACTTCTAATCATAATTAACTTTATTTTTTCTTGGCTTCAAGAATAGTCAAGCTTTTGGCTGAGAGGTGCTACTCGCCTGTAATCCAGCACTTGGGATGCTAAGCCAGAATTGCTGTGCATTTAAGGCCAGCCTGGGCTACATTGAGACCCTGTTTCAAAAAAAATTAAAAGAAAGTCAGGGTTTTTTGTTTTTTTAAAAAATATTTATTTTATGTGTATGAGTATATTGCCTGCATGTAGGTAGGTGCAGCCATGTCATGTAATGCCCGCAGAGGTCAGAAGAGGGTGCCAGATCCCTGGGAACTAGAGTTACAGATGGTTGTTAGTCACCATGTGGGTGTGGGGATTGAATCCTGGGCCCTCTGCAAGAGCAGTCAGTGCTCTTAACCACTGAGTCATCTCTCCAGCCCAAGAAAGTCAAGTTTTTTTTTAATTTTATTTATTATTTTTATTTTATGTGTGTGTATTGCCTGCATGTACGTAAGTGTACCCGTGTTGTGCAATGCCCACAGAGGGCAGAAGAGGCTATCAGATCCCCTGGAAATGGAGTTATGGACAGTTGTTAGCTGCCATGTGTGTTCTGGGATTCAAACCCTGATCTTCTGCAAGAACAACCAGTGTTCTTAACCACTGAGCCATCTCTCCAGCTCCCATAGTTTTTCTTTAAACGCATACGTGCGCACACACACCCACACAAACACACACGTAAATGCATTAGGATTATCTAGATTTTTTAGGGAGTATTCTGACCTGATGTGTTTTGTGATGGTTTCTTTTGTTTTGTTTTGAAATAGGGTCTCAGTATGTAGCCCTGGTTGTTTGTAAACATACAAATCTCCTGCCTTAGCCTCCCTAGTGCTAAGATTATAAGTGTGCATCACCACACCCAACTTGGGTTGATTTCTTAATGCATAATGCTGTAAGTGAAGCCAGTTAGCTTAGTGCTCTAAAATAGGTCTTCTCTTCATAGCTTTAGGATTCTGAATGGAAGAAGGAAATGGAGAGAATTCAGCTGAGCAACATTATGACCACTGTGTATAGTTGGGGCTTAGCAGCCACAGGAAACAAATATATAGTCCTTAGCCTGGGGTGGAGAATGGATACACAGAAAATGATTAGGTAATTTTAAGTGTTTAATTGGACAGGGTTTTGGTATCAAATAATTTCTGGACAGTTTAATTTGGGGTTTGTTGGGGGGGTGTCTTTTTTGAGGCAGGGTCTCCCTATAGCCCCAGCTGTCCTGGAACTCGCTATGTAGACCAGGCTGGCTTTGAACTCATAGAGATCCACCTGCCTCTGCCTCCCAAGTGCTGGGATTAAAGGCGTTCACCACCACACCCAGCGACAGTGTAATTTGTTAAATTCTTCTCAAGAATGATGACTTACAATTTACCTAAGGTTAATATTCTTTGTGAACTCAGAGTAAGTATTCTAAGTCATAGATTTGGCTCATCAGAACCATCTGAAGTCTGTTGAACAATTTTGTGTGTTTGGTGTGGGGGGGTGTTCATGGTTTGTTTTGTTTGTTTTTGAACTTTATTTTATGAGTGTGTTTTGCCTGAATGTGTGTGCAATGCTAGAAGAGGATTATTGGGACTGGAGTTAAAGACAGTTGTTAACCACCATGTGGGCTCTGAGAACCAAACCCAAGTTCTAAGCCAGTGCTCTCTTTTTTTTTTTTTTTTTTTCGGTTTTTTTGAGACAGGGTCTCCCTGTAGCCCCAGCTGTCCTGGAACTCACTATGTAGACCAGACCAGGCTGGCCTTGAACTCACAGAGATCCGCCTGCCTTTGCCTCCTGAGTGCTGGGACTAAAGGCCTGTCCCACCATGCCTGGCCAGGTTTTATGTTTTAAACTTCTTAGAGAATCCATCTCAAACCTACTCAGTTTTCAGTGGTGAAGACTTGGAATGTGTTGTTTTCAAAGCTTCCCAGGTTCAACCAGGTTTGGAAACCAGTGCTGGAGATTGTGGTCAAGATAGAGACCTGGGCCTTTTCCACATGGAGCATCTAGGTGCCCCAATGCTGGGTCAGCTCCCCAGTGATTCTGATACACACTAGACTTTGAAAACCACTCTCCTAAGAAAAAGTCCACATAGCTAGTATGATTGCACACGTCTGTCATCCCAGCAGTACACAAGACATTGAGGCAGGAAGATCATGAGCTCAAAGCCAGCCTCAGTGAGCCACTGTCTCAAAAATATAAGGGCATGGCCCAGCATGGTAGCACACACCTTTAGTCCCAGCACTTGAGAAACAGAGCCAGGATGGATCTCTGTGAGATCAAGGCCAGCTTGGTCTACATAGAGAGTTCCAGGCCAGCATCAAGGAGACGCTGTCTCAAAAACGAAAACAAAAACATAAGGGCTAGTGAGATGGCTCAGCGGGTGAAAAGCAGTTGGTACCAAGCTTGACCACCTGAGTTCAATCCCTGGGATCCGCTTGGTGGAATGAGAGAACTGACCCCTGAAAGTTGTCCTGTGATCACCACATGTGCCATGGCATGTATGTGTACAGGCACACACACATACATAAATAATAAATGTAATTTTTAAAAACAAAAATACACTGGGCACAGTGGTACATGCCTTTGATCCCAGCACTCCAAAGGCAGAGGCAGGCAAATCTCTTGAGTTCAAGGCCATCCTGGTCTACATAATGAGTTCCAGGTAAGCTGGAGCTATAGGGATACCCTGTCTCAAAAAGACTGGGAAAAAAAGGGGCTGGGAGAGATGGCTCAGTGGTTAAGAACACTGGCTGTTCTTTCAGAAGACCCAGGTTCGAATCCCAGCACCCACATGGCAGCTAACAACTGTCTGCAACTCCAGTTCCAGGGGATCCGACAGCCTCTTCTGTCCTCCCCGGGCATTGTACAACACAGGTGCACTTACCTACATGCAGGCAATACATGCATACACATAAAATAAAAATAAAATATTTTTTTTAAAAAGACTGAAGAAAAAAAAAAGGAGGGATGCTAGAAGCCAAACATGAGAAGGAAAAGCGGGCCAGTCGTTCAGTGTTTTGAGGTCAGGTCCCACATATAGCCCAGGATACTTTTTTTCCTAGGTGCTCAGATTACATGCAAGCATCATTGATATCAGTGTTATAACTTGCCCAATCTTCTGTGACCTTGAAATTCTGTTGTATTGCCATTTTCAGATGGGGTTCTGACTGCAGTTATTCCCTCTCCCTCCCCTTCCCCCTCTCTCCTTCCTTTTGGGTTTTTAGATAGCATCTCATAGCTCAGGCAGGCCTTAAACTCAA